TAATGTTTTTATTAATATCATTACACTTTATTTGCTCTGTTTTATTCTGTGAAACCTTACTTCGTATATGGAATAACCATTTTATAAAAGCAATAAGCCCCATGAAGCCTCGGTTTACAGTGAATTTATAACAGCTAAGGGGGTGTGTGCATTGAATTTATTTAATACACGAATTTCACAATTTGAGTTGAATTACTGAAATAAATGAACTTTTCCACGACATTCTAATTTATTGAGATGCACCTGTAGATGTATTTTAGATAAATGAATAACAAAAACAAGGAAAAAACACAACACAAATATTTAAGCACACACAAAGGTTGCTACAAATTAGATCCTATTAGTTTATTGACACCTCTTTTCTCCTTTTTGGAGTTTCTTTGTACCAGGCAGACACATGTTGTTGATGTTTTAGCGGTACTTGTCCACTCAAGTGATGATGTAAATTCATATACAGCTCTGCACTGAACCTTCAAAGACTCTGTCATAAATGTATACACTGGACTAACTTTTATATGTCTGCCATTGCTGCATTGTTCTTGATTTTAGACCCATGTCTTTTACATTCAAACATCTATGATATACAAATGGAATGGAATTTTTGTGATGCAAGAACATTTGCAAGCCAATTACTAGTACAAGATTTCTCTGTTCAACACGTCGTTCTGCAGGAGCGCTGAGAACACAGGAAGGAAGTGGGGTTGGGCTGTATTGAATGTTCATGGAGCAGAAAGTCATTGACATCTATTGTTTCAGCAAAAGTTCCAATTCACCGGCATTTATGACCTTAAAGCTTTTGATGGCGCATGCATGCTGAAGAAACCAAGTTTTGCCTCATTTTTGTGCTAGTCTAGTAGAGTTTGAGTATTTTAGAGAGACTGTGCAACGTGTCTCCACTGGACTACCAAAAACAATGCTTCACTAGACGTTTGATTGAGGATATCCTTTAGAGACGGGATTGTTTTCCTTCACACTTTCCTGATTGTGGTGGGCTAATGAGTGAAAGTGAGCAGTTCCCACAGAGGTCCTCTAGACTGGATTTTCAGAAAAGTACTTTGAAAGAACTCTCTGGAATATATACCAAGGAACGATGTGCCTTTTTCAACTGGATTTCTGTGTATTGACTAAAAACATCTAAAAAAAAAAAAAAAAGAGAAGAAAAAAATAACAATGCCGAGAAGAAAAGCCATTCATGTAGCTGTTTGGGTAGCATGTGGAATATTGGTAAGTTTTAATAAACATATTTAAAAAAAAAAAACAATAATTATACTTCTTGTAAAAACTTGATTTCAACTTACAAAAATACTTTTCTGTATGTATACTTCTGTAAGCTGTTTTATCAGTCCAGTAAAGGTGTTTCTCACTTTTTTTTTTGTAGAGTACCGTGGTGGTAGACACACAGAAATGTAGCATTAAAGTTGTGAAGGCCATTTCTACCACAGACTCAATACACATTACGCTGAATAATGAAGATGTGAAATGCCAATACACAGTTTCTGTCAGGGACAGACTCAATGATTCAAAAGACTGTCATCAAGACCAGGAACATTTGACACATTTTGAGTGCAAAACTGAGAATTTAGATCCTGGAACGTGGCATCACCTAGATATAATATCAAAAGTGGATGAAAAACAACAGACTCAACACACTGTCTCCCTGCCAACGAGTAAGAATCTTGCTTTTTAATAATGAATGTTGTATTATTTGCATTGTGTTCAGTCTGATATAAGTCAAATCAAGCATCACTACTGTTTCTCGCTGAATAGACCTCTAACAGTATTAAACTTGAGCGTGTGTAACTCACAGCGGTTATTCTCCAAACATGAATGATTCTTCAAGTAATGTTATTAAGAGGTTAGTTGTTATTTTACTCAGTGCTAATACTTTTAAGTGGTTACCTACAGAGATGCGGTGAAACAAATACACAATGTCGACTCTGAAGTAAAAAATTGCTGTTATAACTTTTTTTGAAGCCTTCCTAGTTGTAGTTTAGATTTCTAACATCATTATTATTGCATTTTTTGTCAAATGACATTAAATTTGAACACTGACCCGAATATAACCCATGCTGACAAAAAGTGAAGGTATTTCATGAAAATTACTGTAAACAACAACAACAGCAGCAGCAGCAATAATAATATAATAAAATGGCAAGCTAAATACAAGCTGTCTTTTCAACATTTTTCTAATTCTTATTTGTCTGGCACAAAAATGTGACCTCAGAGGGGTTAACTAACCATCATTTAAACCACAAAGAACATTATTTACTCTCAGTTAGCAGTTATGTTGCCAAGTTATAAACAAGTGGTTATGCATTATTTCTTTATTTAATTTATTTATTTATTTATTTAATTCATTCTTTCAATATTTATATTGTTTGTTTGATGATAAATATATAAATAAAAAAGATAAATTTAACTAAAACATTCTGTGCTTGCAGAAATAATATGGCTGTATGATTTTAAAGTCATTTTGTGTATAACTTTTAACTAAAACAATTGTTTAACTATAGAATATAAGACTGTGCGAAATATGTCACAGCCACTGGAGCCTCACAAAATGCGTAATAAAAGCTGCAGTGATAGTATTTTTTGTAAGCCAATCTGGAAGTTTACATCACCCTGTTTCCCTCAAAAACCTAAACAAAAAAAAAAGTAGAATTTATTGGCTTTTGCAGTATTGCAGAAAATAAAGTCTGTGACCAAAGTTTATTATTCTTTTGAACATCATGATAATCTTCAACAATGGAAGATTACAATCTACAAGGTTACAATATCGGCAGAAGTAAAAGTTAAACATACATTTTGGAGCAGGCAGAGAGAGTCAATTTCCAGAGAGGAAATTCAGAATATTCAGAATATTAACACACTTTTGTGCTTCAAATCCTCTTTATGGGAATAACTGTATGAAAGAACTTGAGAAACACAGATTATGTAAATCTAGAGTTCTATGTGCAAATCCAAATGGTCAAGTGTCAAAAGCTTCTCTAAATATGAGGAAAGGTTGGCTTGTACTGATAATGTGCCGTGTATATGCAACTGAGCTAAACTCCAAAACAGGAGTTTGACTGTGGGTCATTTCTTTCAGTCCATTCTCCCCCTCCCATCCGGCTCATTGTTCTTTTGTTCTAATACAGTGGGTACGGAAAGTATTCAGACCCCCTTAAATTTAGGAAAAAAAATTAACTTAAATGATTTTAGCAAATGGCTGCAATATAACAAAGAGTGAAAAATTGAAGGGGGTCTGAATACTTTCCGTACCCACTGTATATACAAAGACTCGTTAGCTCTCAGAGATCTGATTACAGTAATGCGTATATGTGACCCTGGACCACAAAACCAGTCTTAAGTCGCTGGGTAAAAGATCATGTTCCATGAAGATATTTTGTAAATTTCCTACTGTAAACATATTAAAACTTAATTTTTGATTAGTAATATGCATTGCTAAGAACTTAATTTGGACAAATTTAAAGACGATTTTCTCAATATTTAGATTTGTTTGCACCCTAAGATTCCAGATTTTCAAACAGTTGGATATCGACCAAATATTGTCCTATCCTAACAAACCATACATCAATGGAAAGCTTATTTATTCAGCTTTCAGATGATGTATAAATCTAAATTTCGAAAAATTGACCCTTATGACTGGTTTTGTGGTCCAGGGTCACATATAACATGTACAGTGGACCCCAAAGGTATTTGGATAAGGTTACTTAATCATAAGGTTACTTATGATTGCATCTGAGAACAAAGTATAAAAAGTGTCTAGAAATCCCTACCTGTAAATATTCATAAAAATATCATTAGGCATATTAGAGGCTCCTTCTGTTCAGATTTCTGTGATTAAAACAAAAGACAATGTAGGGCCAGTTCATTTCATTTTGTATTTTAGTTATTGAATATTGCATTTATTAGTTAGCTTGGATAATTAACATGATCAAAAATTTTTAAATAAACAATGACTGGGTCTCAAGGAGAAAAAGAGTAAAAAAAAAAGTAATTAGAAGAAGTTGCCTGAATTTGACCTTCAACCTGAAAGGTTTCTTATCCTGTCTTCTCACAATACCCTTTCAACAAAGCCTCATTAGGAAGAGCTTTCTTAAAAAAGCAAAGGTCAGCGTTATCATGTTTGCACATAGGTTGCTAGACATGCTGCTCCCTTCTCTAAGAATAATTCACAGCAGGACACATTGTGTCCACACCTTTTCGTTTCTGACCACTTTACCATGAGGATTGTTTTGATACTGTCTGTCAGAAGCAACAAAACCAAAGGGATCACTGTTTATCATCTGCATGATTTGCAAGATATTACTTAATTGCAGTATATTTAAATGTGTCTTATATACACACATCTAAAACACGTTTTTATTCAAGTTAGTATATATATATATATATATATATATATACAATGCCTGCTACATACAGATTCACTTTAATGTATTTTTATGTAGATTTTAACATTTAATGCATCAGTTAATTTGATTTCAAATTGTTGGTCCTTATTTAACTTATTTTAACTTTTTTTTCCTATTATTATACATTTTTTGTATTATTATTATTATTTTTCAATTTTTCACACTGTTGATAGGATTTCTAAATGTCTTTTGGTTAGGACCTTCAGCCGTGGAAAATCTTTGGGTTGCTGGAGATACAAACAGCTTGGAAGTTTCATGGCAGCCTGGTCCAGGCAAATCAGAGCGATACTGGATCATGCTTACAGACAGCAGTGGTATGGGTTCGATCTGGAATGCAACAGTTGTTAGCACAGCCACCTCATACACAATAAAAGGGCTGATTCCTGGACGACTCTACAATATCACTGTAATTACAGAGGTTGGAGAGCTACAGAATTCAGTGTCTAGACAAGCACAAACAGGTATTCGGCTCTTCAAGTAATAATTGAAATAAATGAACAGATTTGACAATACAGACACTAAAATGTCACTTCTTTCAACACTCTTTTATAAATGTGTGTGTTTGTGGCTGTGATCATATATCTGTGCCTGTATGATTTCCTCTGCTATATTTTAGGCAGACATGTTAACACCCTTTCCTGTTTTGAGCGCTGAAAAGTCACCTTTGTCTCCTTGTGTTATGTCAAGTTACGTCATGCCGTCTCAATCATAAAACATTGCACTGATTATAAATTCCTACATTCATTTAATTTTTGTGCCGTTTTGTTTGATTGGCTATGTTCATTATCCCTCTGAGATCTTGACAGCAAATTCTCAAACATACTCAACTTGATTACATTCAGTTTATTTGGCTTATCAAATCACTCTGAAGCCGCTTTGACACAATCTGTTTGTATACAGTGGTACAGATCTAATGTGGTCAGGTTCAGTCATTCAACATATTTTTGAGTTGAATAAAACCAAATAAACGCCTGTTTTAATGTCGCTCAAATGCTCAGTCAACACAACCAGCGACTGATACCATGAATACCATGTAACTTCACACAAGAAGTATTAGTTAACAAAAGGAATATTTTACACACTCCTACACAAACGTAAAATCGCACACCACACAACACATCTCAGGGAGCATATACACAACACCGTTTTCAACTAAAAATTGAAAACATTTTGGCCATTTATTTACACATCAATGGTGTTTTGGGGGCCAGAAAATGCAATCTTTCAAAAACAGGTTTCAAAGTGCACACTTTTGAAAACAATAC